ATTTAAGAATTATATGTAAATATTTCGAGCCTCTATAGTATAAACTTATAAATCGTGAATATTTTACTATTAAAATTACGACTAAAAAAACATTTGATCTTTTAACTATATTGTCAAAATAAATTTAAAAATGTCTCGACATAGTTTTAAAACTACACTATTCTAATATCACTTGCAAGTTACAGAATTGAATTTGCTTTTCTAGAACGGGATTTAGAACGTTTTAAAGATACGTGATTTTTATAATAAATTACTAGAAAAAACTTACAAAATTAAGTATAGCAACACCCCAGTAATAGAGTAATTCGATTAGATGCGTTTTTTTTTTTAGCCCTTGATAAATGTTTTGTAATAGAAAATAATTAGAATTGTTATTCTCAATAAACTGAGCGAGAGCTTGTGCTAATAAAGTTGGTCTTTATTATAAACTGTGTTTGCACTTGGTGGTAGTCAGTGTTTTAAATAGCATAGTAAAATTCCGGATTGTCCGTCCTTTTTTTTAGAATAAATTAGTTGCAACCAAAATTCAGCATTGCTAAAACATCACTAAAAATTTTGCTAATAAATTCATAGCCCAAGTAAAGCTGCCCAGATTGACGAAACTGACGAAACTGACAAAAGGTGACGAAACTCAAAAAGTTACGAAACAGACGAAAATCAACAGATACACCAAACTTTGGTGAAGTTTTTTGACAATTTTTATTTATTTTAATTCTAAATGTCTGTAAGAGTAAAGTAAAAAACCTATCAAATTTAGTTAAGCGTATGTCGAGAAAATTTCACTAAGTTTGAAAATTTATCTCGTCTATAAACAGGATTCTGATTGGTACGTACATAGTCTTCTAGACAAATATCAAAAAAAAAAAAAAAAAAAAACTTTTTGGTTACCAACTGTAGCTCAGCCTTTTAACCTTACTAGGGCTTCGTCTTATTAAAGTTATAGATGCCTGACGAAACTCACGTGACCTGACGAAACCTAGTTTCGTCAATTCGTCAACAGCAAAAATAGTTTCGTCAGGCATTTATATAGGGGATTCTATATCTCTGAAGGTTTCGTCTGATGTTTCAACTTTCGTCATGGGTTTCGTCTATCGTAGGGTTTCGTCATTTTTAGGTTTGGTTTCGTTTTTCGTCATTTACGTAAATCAGTTTCGTCTAACAACTATATTCGGGACTATGTAATCATAATCCCCGAAGAGTTATTTTGTTAGCTGATTCTATTTGTAACGTGACCCGAATCTTCACTTAAATTGAAATAAAAATTATGTAATTATATTCTTTGTTTAATTCTAAGCATTTTTGCTTTGTTTTTTTGTCCAATGATGGGGTGGCTGTGATCAGCCACCCCAACGCAATATTATTCTGCCACCTTAATAAAGTTTAACACTAATTCAGACTGACAATTTGTTGCGCCATAACTTTTGTACTCATCGTTAAGTGCCGAAGTAACAGATTAGGTTTAAACATTAATAAATTAACATTAATACGTAATTAATTAAACTTTACTGTATTGGGATGTTACATATGTTTAGTCTATATGACCAATCATAAAGTTATTCAATGATTGAACAATCATTATAATAATATAATTTGTGCTTGTGAATACTTTTAATTATTAATTTTTTATATTAATTCATACATGTTAACGTAGTATTGGCGGAATTTTGCTTATCGACTAGTCTAAATTAGGGTTAGAGTTAGGGTAGGGATGAGGATTTCCAATAAATGCCGAAAAAAGCTTGGGCGGCTGGCCTAACGCTAATAAGCATTTATAATCTAATTCTTATTAGAGTTAGGATCTGGTCTAAACTGACGGTCCTTCATCATCCAAGAATCGGTCTTTTTAGGACGGGGTATGGTCCTAATACGAGGTATTAGAAGCTAATATAGATACGAATTTTAGTGAGTATCTTTTAAGGACATTCCATGAATTGGAGTAGAATGTTCCCGCTACGCTTCGGGCAACCAATTATAATTATAATTATTAAATACAGTAAATATAATTTTTATAATTCTGCTTACTTTATTCAATTGATACAATTGATAGAGCTCTAAGGTTACATAATACATTTTACCCCCTAAGATGGGGTTTGCGATAGTCCAAAATCTTTAGTTTTGGTAAAAATCGAGTGTGATGATATTTTTAACAAATTGATAATTCTTTGAAAGATATACAAATTTGAAGTAAAATTATCCCAAAATATTTTATTTATTGAAGGTTTTTTTGTCGATCTCTGACCCAAAATTTTAAGGATTAATTATACTCACTTACTTTAAAAGAAAATAATAATGGGGATCAATATTTACTTCATTATTTCAAGCAGCTTCCTCAGTCATATCATTTCCTTTGTCTTTGTGAGTGGTTTTAATTTTATTGGACTGATTGTTTACTTCCTAACTAGGAAAAAGAATAGTCATCTCTATCTTAAATTATATAATAAACTGCTAGCCCTTGATTTAATTAATTTTAGGGATGTTGATAGTTCGGTCTAGTTTGATCTAGTCTTAAGACTTCAATCTAATTTGATAATCGGGTCCATCTGATCTGATGGTGGTCCCAGACTAATTAGGCCGTTTGAATTTAAATTTTCGTTTAACGTTCTTTTTTTTTTTTTTTTTTTTTTTTTGTGCAGAGGGGGAAAGGAAACAAACAGTAATTTTAAATGATCCAAACTTAGGTTCAAGTTAGCCTAAATCTAAACCAGCTCGTGTTTAATGTTGGTTGTCTATCTTTCCAGTCTGCCTCAAATTTTTTAGACCGTACTCATATTGTTTAATTTAAGGGGGGGAGCTTCAGAAATGAAGGGGGGAGAACGTTAAACGAATTTTTAATTTCAAACGGCCTTAACAGCTCGCTCCTAATAAATTAAACACCTGATATTATAATTGTTAATTTTAGGATTTTTTCTAACACATAAATATTTTTCTTTAATATAGCATTGAAATTTATATAGATTTTAGAAATTGTAGTTGTTATTAAAGAAACTTATAAAATGTGTAAGTAATGTCTCATTTATTATTTAAAATAAAAAGGTTTCATGATTAAGCTTTACACACGCGCGTGACATCACTTCGAAGATTAGATTTTAGCGTTAGATATATTTTCATTATTATATTTTGTAATCTGATTGGCCAGTCTATGAAATATTTAACTGTTAAATATGTACTGTACGTACGTATCATGCATGCAATTATCTTTCTCATTATAAAATGTTTCAGAATGATTTATAGCCAATTATTTAAGGAATCAAAACTACTGTTTTTAGTGTATAATACCTCATAAAATACGCCCAATTGCAAATTGTCATCACTCACGTTTTTTTAGTTTTTTTCCAGTATTACACAAGTTCATATAGTATAAGCCATAAACCTGTACACAAACCCATTTAAACCTATCGCTATAATATATGAGGCTGTGCCATGGCAGGTTTTATAAAAATAGTTTAATTGTCGTGTCGTTTCATTGAAAGTGGCTGATCCATCACCTTTTTTGGCCATCTGTTTAATTGTCAATATAAACTTTTTTTTGTTGGTTGTTGAAAATAAAAACGGTTCTCTTCTGCGATTCTTTCAATTTTTGTAATATGACCTGATACTGACATTGATACAACTACAAATATAATCCGTAATCGTTTTTCAAGGACAATGCCTATTTCTAGGTCTACTTCTAATTCTAGTATTAGTACTACTGGAAATGATGCTCCTCAATTTCCAAGGAGAATTCTACTTCTAGGTAAATTTTAAATTTATTAAATTAACTTTTTTAAGATAGTTGTTTAGTGTTGTGAGCGAAACCCAAATTTGTGATCATTTTAGATCATTTGTAGATCAAAATTGGTGTTTTCTTAATATTAATATTAATGATTTATATTATATTGCATTATCTTCCTCCTTTACCTAGCCATCGGTTCTATGGGTGATGTTCTTCCTTTTATAAATCTGGGCGTGGGTTTTTCTCGTCGTGGACATGATGTTATAGTTGCGGCTAATGCTCGATTTAAAGAATTGATTGAGAAGAAAGGTTTTGAGTTTAGAGAAATAAAGGTATAATCTCTATAAACAAATTACTATATCTTTTTATAAATATTAATCTATTTGGAATTTGTGTCTTTCTGTAGTGGGATATGATACACGAATGGGTTGGTATCTTATTTTTTCTCTTCTTTTTTATTTAATTTTTTATTTATTTATTTATTCCAATTTCTTTTATATTCAGCAA